TCACTAGGTCCGCCTAATGTACTCCAACACGTACATACGCATTTTGGTCAACAGCATGATTGGCCCCACCTTCCCCGTCCGCACGGGTGTCCGACAGGGCTGTCCTCCAACACCCCTGCTCTTTGTCTGCGTTATCGAGATCTTCCACCGCTATATGCCCCTCTTCCTCCCTGGCTTCACTCTGTCTTCTGCTCAACACTGCCTCATGGCGTGCTACGCGGACGATGTCACTCTCTTCCTCACCTCAGATACAAAGCTCGGACAAGTAGTAGTGATGCTTGACGTTTTTGGACCAGTCTCCGCTGGGATTCCCAACTAGAACAAGTGCTTGCATTCAATATCCCCCCTGTTGATCTCGTACACGTTGGGACTATACCCATGCGAGCTCCCAATGAGGCAGAACGCATGCTCGGAATCTATGTCGAGCGTATCCATCCTGACTCCACTACCTGGAACAAGGTTCTTGCCCCCATACAAAGCATCGCCAAAAACCTGGCAGCCTTACATGCCACAGTCACGTGCCGCAAAGCCCCTCGACCTTTTTGAACTCGGTCATTTCCTTTCCCGGACGTTTCCAACCTGCCCCGTCGGACACAATCAAACGCCTTGACGTGTCAGTCGAGAATTTCCTTTCGTCCTCAAAACACGAACAAGCTGGCCTCGCACAACGCCTCATTTCCAAAAGTCTCCTGTACAACTCTCCCTAAGACGGCGGGGTTGGGGAGATCGCCCCCTCTACCCAAGTCAAAGCTCTTGCTATTCAGCGCCCCCCGCGCAGATTCCCGTTGCACGCACCTTGACCCCATTTCCCTTCGAGCTACACAGTCTGCTCTCCCATGACGCCATTCTTGAACGAAACTACCTCCCCACCTTCATCCCCTCTCGGGCGTTAGACGAACTAAAAGCCCTCCTTTCCCTCCCCCTGGTCATTCATGGGCCCCCCTTACGCATGTAGTGCATCCTCACCGAACCAATCGCCTTCAACCGCTCGATCCTCAAACCCAACCGTCGGCCTTTCGGCACCTGCCAACACGAACGCTTCCTCCTTACAGGGCAATTCCGCATCGGACATATTGCTCGGATTACAGACTTTCATGTCGGCCCTGACTCTGCAGCGGAGTTTTGCTCCCAACTCCCGTAGGAGTTTCACCCAGACACAAGACGCACCCTCCCAGAGAATATCGCAACTATAGAACCATGGGGGTAGCCCTCCGAACCCGACACGCCTCTTCTGCCTCCCCATGAGACTGGTTCATGCTTTCGAACGACAACAACCCCGCCTCTCATCTCGCCCTCCAGTTTGTCTCTTCTGTCCACCACGTCTCGCGATGTCACAGGATCGAATTCTCAATCGAAACTTGTCACTAAAACTGAATACAAGGCCTATTTATACTCGGAAAGTACAAGGATAAACGAGATAAAACGAACCTTCGGGAACACACCCTTCCCGATACTACAATCACAAGTGCGCATAAGCACGCAAGTCTATTGGCACTTGGGATTACGCCCAGATTACACCGTATACACCATTGTCGGCGCTGTCGGTGCCGTATAATAGGTATGTCGGTGGGAAAAGTAGGAAATAAGAGAAATAAATAGAAGGCTCTAGAAAATAGAATAGTAGGCCGATTGAGATGAGATAAAGACCAAAATAAAGAGGAGAAAAGGGAGAATAGGATAACGGAAAAATATAATAGTGAGAAAATATTATAACGGGGACGTCCTCTCACACTTCCCCCCCTCAAAGCTGGGTGGTAGAAGTAACACCCTGCTTGACAAGGTAGTCCTGTAGAGGACGGCGGGCGTTATCCATGTCGTGTTCAGGTACCCAGGTATCCTCGGAAGGATCATAGCCTTTCCAACGAATCAAGAGCTCCAAGGTGCCGTTACGTCGTCGTCGGTGCGCCAGAACGGCTTCGACTTCGTACTCGGGTTCCCCATTAACGATCACTGGCAGTGGCGGCGGCGGCTGACGACCTTTGAAGACCGTGTTTGGGTCCCGATAGGGCTTGAGAAGTTGAACATGGAAGGCATTGTGAATTCTCCAGGTAGCTGGTAAACGCAAGCGGAAGGTTACTGGAGTGACCTGCGCCTCGACGAGAAAAGGTCCGCAGAAGCGAGGTCGGAGCTTAGACGGAAGATGGCTAATGTCGAGATTGCGTGTATCCAGAAGCACTTGATCGCCAATCTTGATGGAATGATCGTTGCGACTCCGATCAGCGAGCTTCTTTTGTTGCTGCTGGATAGTCAGAAGACGTTTATGCGTGCGCTCCCACAATTGGTGCATAGTGGAAATGAAGTCATGTGCGGGTTGCACCGTGGCGGGTACTGTTGGTTTCTGAGGCGTGAGTGGGTTGCGACCGTAAAAGAGGAAAAAAGGAGTTTGCCCTGTTGCGGCGTGCGTGGCGTTGTTATACGCAAACTCGAGAACCGGCAGATGTGCATCCCATTTAGAGATATCGTCCTTACATGCTGCTCGCAGAAGCTGTTCGACAATCTGGTTGAGGCGCTCTGTCTGACCATCCGTTTGGGGATGATAGGCTGATGACATGGCGAGTTTGGTCCCCATGAGCGACATGAGCTCCTTCCAGAATTTACTCGTGAATTTCGGGTCTCGGTCGGAGATCAGCGTGGTTGGAATGCCATGTTGCGAGATGACGTAACGGAAGAATAATTGCGCTGTCTCCTCGATGCGAGCCGTTGTGTGTGTCGGAATGAAGTGTCCCATTTTGGAGAATTTGTCGATGACGACTAGAATGGCGTCGTAACCAGCTTTGGTAGGTGGTAGCCCGGTGATGAAGTCGAGGCTAACCACTGGCCAAGGCTGTTCAGGGACTGGAAGAGGCTGTAGTAATCCTGCTTTCTTCTGTTTGCTGCTCTTCATCCGTTGGCATGTGTCGCACGAGGTGACGAATTTTTGTACGTCATCCGCCATGTGGGGCCAATAATAATGCTTCGCAATACCGGCAAGCGTCTTGTTACTACCAAAGTGGCCCACGTAGAGAACATCATGATATTCTTCGAGCAGTAACTGGCGTAAGGGAGGGTAATTAGGTACCCATATTTTTGTGGAGCCCTTGCGGTATGCGATGTCTTGATCCCAATGTAGAAGATGGCGCTTTTCTGCTACAGAGACTTCGGGGTCGATGGTGTATCCATGCGTGAAGAGTCCCTTCAAAAGTGGGTTCATGCCATCGATTTGTAAAGCGGCAATGTGTGCAGGGCGACTCAGTGCGTCTGCCTTGTTCTTGTGCCCCGGCTTATACACGATGTCATAATGGAAGTGGGTTTCGAGAAAGTCAATCCACCGGACCAGCCGCCTGGAGAGTGTTGGTTGGGTCTTTAGGTACTTGAGGCTGCAGTGGTCGGTGTAGACAGTCGTTTTTCTTCCTTCGAGATAACACCTCCATGCCTTAAATGCGTTGACGATGGCGAGGGCCTCTTTGTCATGGATGGGGTAATTGAGTTCTGCCCCGTGAAGTTTTTTACTGAGGTATGCAATGGGTTGCAGTCCCTTCCCTTGATCCTGCATGAGTACTGCGCCCACTGCTTGATCGCTAGCATCGGCCTCGACGACATAGTCAAGTTCAGTGTCTGGCAGGATAAGGACAGGTGCGGACGTGAGTGCGGTTTTAAGTTGTTCCACGGCTTCCTGGTGCTTCGCCTCCCATTGATATGGCGTATTCTTCTTCAACAGGTTCGTTAATGGTGCGGCAATCTTGGCGTAGTTCGGTACGAACCGGTTGTAGTAGTTGGCGAATCCAAGGAACTGTTGTAACTCCTTCACGTTCTCAGGGGTCTTCCACGTTCGCACCGCTTCGATCTTCTTAGGATCCACGTGAACTCCTTGAGCGCTCACCATATGTCCAAGGAACTGGACTTTTTCCAACGCAAACTCGCTCTTGGATAGTTTCACGTAGAAGCGTTCTCGTCGAAGAATTTCAAACACCCGTCGTAGATGCTCAACGTGCTGCTTCATATCTTTCGAGTAGATCAGGATATCGTCCAAATATACCACCACGCACTCGTCCAGAAGGGGCCGAAGGATGTGGTTCATTTCCGTCTGAAATGTGGCTGGTGCGTTAGTGAGTCCGAATGGCATCACAAGATACTCGTATGACCCGTACCGAGTTCGAAAAGCGGTTTTGTGGATAGAGTTGTCCGCCATACGGATTTGCAAGTATCCCGATCTGAGGTCGAGCTTGGAGAATACCGTAGCACCGCGAAGTTGATTGAGTAAGTCGTCGATCCGTGGTATCGGGTATTTATTTTTTACAGTCTGCTTGTTCAAGGCTCGGTAGTCGATGCACATTCGCAGACTTCCGTCTGGCTTCGGAGTGAAGATAACTAGAGCTCCGTACGGCGAAGTCGAAGGTCGAATCAGCCCTTTCTCCAGGAGATACTCTATTTGTTTTTTCATAATGGCAAGCTCTGTCGGGCTCAGCCGGTATGGTGCTCGAAATGTTGGCTTGGACCCCGGCTCTTCTACGATCTCGTGTTGATGTGTCCGGTATGGCGGTAGTTGATCAGGTAAATCGTCGGGGAGAACGTCCTGGAACTCTTCAAGAATTTTCTTGATGCTGGCCATCTCGGCCATGTTTCTAGAAAGCTGTATGGTTTTGTGCTTTGTACATTGATTACGATCAATATATAACTTAAACATCAACCCATTCACGCGCCAATGACAGCGCAGTCAAAATGGACGGTCCGAAATGCCGTTCGGACGGTGTCAGCAGGGTAGTCCGAACCACTTGTTGGCAGAAAAGTGTCAGATCTGGTCCGGACGGTAGCGACGTCGTAGTGGGGCTTGCGTATTTACAAACGAACTGTCGCGAAATCAGTAACCCTACAAAAGTCCGGACGAGTCCTTTGTCCGGACGATAGAAAGTGGAAAAGTTACGCGCCCTAACCCTATTCCCTCTTGCTTTCCCAGCTTCACCACGGGTTAGCAGCCATCCTTCTCATCTTAGAGCCCTAGCCCACGAACAACCTCGCAAACCATGGCGGCTCTCGCTGGTCTGAGCAGCAGCATGGCGGCCATGCAGATTACATCTTCGGCCAAAAGCGGCCTCTTCGGCACATCACTAGCAGCCAAGCCCGTAAGTGCTGCCCTCACGCTCACCCCGTTCCGGTTCTGTGTTCTCCTGGCGGCTCGCTCCCACTGCTGACGCTGCGTAGCTTCGTATTGCTTACCTATAATCGAGAGGTTAGGGCGCGTTTCTTTGCTCTTCTCCTATGTGTCTGCATTTCAGAGGCAGGGTTTTAGGTCACGCATTGATCCTCGAAGCGCGAAAAGTGCAGTTCTGCGACCCTGTAGATCGTTATTTTTATTTGCCGGTCTATTGGAGCCCCATTTCTGCCTTTATGTTTCGTCGTCGCATCTCGCAAGCTAAACCACTCACTTTACTATGCGTCGGACCCTCCCTTTCTTTCGTCGTGGCATATCCTCTCCGTGCATATCGTCCGTGCTCTCGTGGTCGTGGCAGATGACTGCCCAGCCTCATGCGGCGCCATCAGTCATTCGCATGGCTGTAAGTTAATCTCCTCCTTTGTACCACTCTCCTCTCCATATCTCACAACCCCGTACTCCTCGGTCCAAACGGCACTTCCCCTTGGCCTTTCTGGCTTCGGCCTGCTGTCGACTGCTTCCCCGGTCCCTCCTTTCGCTCCTTTCCCATCTTGGCGACGTTCCCCCACTGGTCCCCCCCTTCGCGCAATTTTCCTTGTTTGCGTTCGCATGCTATCCTCCGTTCACCTTCCTGTCGTCTCCCTCTCACCTCCCCCGCTCATTCCGCCCTCTCCGCCGCGCCGAATGTGCTCAGATCAAGCGGTGGGAGCGCAAGGAGGTGAAGGACAACAGCCTGCCCGTGCGCCACAAGCTGCACGTGCAAGTGGGCGACACCGTGCAGGTGCGACCGTACACTGTGTTGCATGCTGCTTCTCCAGCGTCATCCTCGTTACAAGGATAGCATGACATACATGTGTGTGTGTATATGGGGAGAGAGGGGTTGGAGAAAGGGGAAAGGGGGAGGGGAGATTTGGTGGGGTGGTGATTGGCACTCATGGTCGTGTGTATGTCGTCTGTGTGTGTCGTGCTACTGCATGCACCCTGACCTTCTTGTCAAGCCCACCACTCATTCGCGTGAGTAGCTCCCGTCCCTGCACGACATGCTGCATTTTCGCCGCTGCTCGGCGCGCAACATATCCCCCCCTCCGTCATCCACACCACCATAATTATCGTTGACCATCCCTTGTAACCTTGCTGAGCTTAAACTTTTGGAACCCCTCTCTCTCCCCACCTCCCTCTTCCCCCAATAGCACCTCTCATCCCCCCTCTCTCTCCCCACCTCCCTCTTCCCCCAATAGCACCTCCCATCCCCCCTCTCTCTCCCCACCTCCCTCTTCCCCCAATAGTACCTCCCATCCCCCCTCTCTCCCCACACAACACGCCTCCTGGTGTTACGCTTTATAGTCCATCAGCCTCATCACCACATTTTCCCACCCCATCCCCCCCCCCCACTCCCCTCCCCCTCCTCCCCCGTGGCGTGGCGAGTGGCAGGTGATAGCGGGCAGGGACAAGGGCAAGGTGACAGAGGTGGTGCGCGTGATCAACCACAACTTGAGCGTGCTGTGCCGGGACATCAACATCAAGACCAAGCACGTCAAGGGCAAGTCCGAGGGCGAGGCCGGCCAAATCATCCAGGTGGGTGCCACACGCACGCAGTAGCAGCAAGCCGGTGGTGGGACATTGGTGGGTGCGGCACAGAGTCGGTGTGCATCACCAGAATGGCTGTGATTGGCCAACAGAGCTGTTGAGAGTTTTTGTGACCATCTGGTCCTGCTTATTCGTGAAAATCTTAGTAGCTGCTCCCATGCTCGGCCGATTCCACCGTGTGCTGCAGATTGAGGCGCCGATCCACAGCTCCAACGTGATGCTGTACTCGAAGCAGCAGAAGGTGACGAGCCGAGTGGGCCACAAGGTGCTGGACGATGGCCGCAAGGTGCGGTACCTTCTCAAGACAGGCGAGGTCCTTGACCAACCCGGCGAATGGAAGCGCACCGCCAAGAAGGAAAAGAAGGACAAGCCCAAGGGTGACTCGTCGTAAAGAGGGGAAGGCAGGGGGGGTTATGAATGATGAGCCAAGTTGAGATAACAACAGATGCAATGTAGTGCAATTCAACCACGGAATATATGTTTTTCCCAGTGTGCTACGGTGAATGCTGCTGTGCTCATTTTGACCTCAAAATTAAAATTGCTTGTTAATTACGTACAGAGATAAGGAGACAGATCTGTTAGGGCTTCATGTTCTGATAAGGTATATAGAAATCCTATATTGAGAAAGCTTGCTTTCTTTCTTATCAATTGGCATCGTTCTCATTACAAATGGCGTATTACAACATTTGCATCATCGTTCGACATAAGCTAGTGCGGACTAATAACACTAGCTATTATGTACCCTATCCAAGTGGCATTAGCAAGGCGGTTTACACTGGGGTGGGTGGTGGGAATGTTGGGTGAGCCGTTTGAAGAAACGTGGGTGGAGGGAAATGAGCTCCAACCCACGGTTTTTGTAGTTGGAGAAGGGCGTTTAGCGCGCTTCGACGATGCCAATTGTGCAGTACAAGCAGCTTCGCTTTCACAATACACAATTTTAAAAAACACTACATGTGTGTTTAAAAATTATAATATTGAGAAAGCTTGCTCTCTGTTCTTGCAATGGCAACGTGCTTCATTAGAATTGAGGTAATTACAGCATTCTCGTCCAGCTATTAATTGTACATGTATATGACCAGGGTGGGTGGGTGGGGACTGTAACTACAAAGTTCGACTGAAGACGTGGGTGGAGGCCAAATGGCCTCCAACCCTCGTTATATACTCGGCGAATGGTAATTCGCAGTTGCCTTGCTGCGCTACAGTCAGCTGCGCTTTGACAATACGCATTTTTAGAAAGTGTTACACACTTAAATAATCATGTTATAAGTTGTATGAAAGAAGAGTGCGCAATATTCAATAACGCGGTGTCAAAGACTATATGTGTTATTGCTGTGTAGGCTATAGTGGGTTAGCCTTTAGGGGGTACACAACTTTAGGGTTTCATACTTGAACTGTAATGTTGTGTAGTTCAATCACTTCTTGATTCTCACATGGTATTCAGAGCTTAGGTTCTAGACCTAAGGGCCCACCGTTCCGCTAGAGGTGCCCTCGTGCGCCCTTTTTTTTAGCGCCCTCGTGCGCCTTTCCCCTAGTGCGCCCTCGTGCGCTCTCCTCTCATGCTGCCCGTGTGCAGCCCGCTAGTAGCCCGAGCGCGGCCCCCCCGTTTTAGCGCACGTAAGAAAACCGCCGCCTAGGGCGGCCCGATTTCTCTCACGCGCCCCAGCAATCCGCCGCCCGTAGGCCCCTGCTAGCCCCTAGGCCGACGCGCGACCCACAGCCGCCCGCCCGCAGGTCGCAGCCAGCACGCCGCGACGATCGCGCGTCGGCTGCTGTAGCGCGCGACCCACAGCCGCCGCTAGAACGCAGCCGCAGCCCGAGCGCAGCTGCACCCTGTGAAAAAGAGAACGAGGAAAAATGACTATGAAAGAAGTGAGTACAAATAGGAAACCCTAATTGGGTTGTACCCCCTATGGGATACCCCACTATAGCCTACACAATAGTATAAGCTATATAGTTCTGACACACCCCCATAGGCAAAGTGGGGGAGAACAAGGGGTCACAAGACCAGTCAAGCAAAGCAAAGCAAAGCTCAGGGTGGATCACAAAGTCACCACACATTCCGAGCACAAGTTCAAGGCCACATGGCCAGTTCACATGCAAGATCATATATAGAGATATACAAGAGTCAAGTAAGCAAGAGCAAGAGTATATATAGGCGAAGGTACAAGCAAGGTCAAGAGGAGAGCAAGTGAGGCAAGACAGGCACAAGACCCAACTGCGTGCAACAACGCTGATGATCACAAGGCGCAAGTGCCTTGGTGAAGACATCAGCAGTGTTGGCCTCAGAGGCCACGTACGCAAGTCGCAACTGTCCACGCTGCTGTAGCTCACGAGCAAGAAAGTAGCGGAGAGCAATGTGCTTCGTTCTGTGCTCCAGTCTCTGCTCTCGACACAAGGCCAGCATGGCCTTGTTGTCTACGTACAGGACTGGAGGAGAACGAGGCTGCTCTCCAAGGTCGGTCAACAGGTAGGTGAGCCAGCGTAACTCCTGTGCAGCCATAGCCCCGGCGTAGATCTCAGCCTCACAACTGGAGCCGAGAACAGAAGACGAGCGGGTAGCCCGCCACGAAACAGAGCCGGAACCAAGGCTGAAGGTGTAACCCTGTGACGACCGCTGCGTAGCCTGGTCGTCAGCCCAAGAAGCGTCCGCGTGCCCAGTGAGGACCACTGGACTGCGCCCTCCAAGCACTAGCCCCATGCCCGACGTACTGCACAAGTAGTGCAACACCCTCTTCGCTGCAGCCATGTGCTCTGGTCGGTGTCTCCCAGGAGCAACATAGCGTGCGAGAATGCTAAGAGGGTATGCAAGGTCAGGTCGTGTGCAGGTCATCAGGTACATGAGGCAGCCAACAAGCTCTGCATACGGGCCACTCGACTCTACGGACTCATCCGAAGGCAGAGCTGAGAGCGAGTGGCGAGTAGGCAGAGGAGTGGCCTGAGGCGAGGAGTACGTGAAGCCGAAGCGCTGAAGGACCTGCTGCACCATGTGTGACTGAGTCAGGGTAATGGTGCGGCGTGCTCTGTCCCGGGTGATCTGCAAGCCAAGATAGCTGCGCAGTTCACCCAGGTCAGTGCACGTGTGTCTCTTCTGCAGCTCGGACTTCACGTAGGCGAGTCCAGCAGTGTCAGCTGTGGCAAAGACCAAGTCGTCGACGTACACGAGGATGTAGAACGGCGGCAGAGAGGTGTCGGTGCGCAGAAACAGCGACGGGTCGGCAGTAGAAGGAGCAAACCCAAGTGCCGCGAGCGTAGTCCTCAGTGTGTCGTGCCACTCACGTGGCGCCTGGCGGAGACCGTAGACTGGACGACGGAGACTCCACTGGGTACCAGGAGGGAAAGACCCAGTGAAGCCAGGTGGGCGACGCAGCCAGATCTCCTCGTGCAGGCTGCCCTGCAAGAAAGCTGTGCTGAAGTCGAGAGAGTGCAGCTCGTAGTCACGGTGAGCAGCAACGTGCAGCAGGACCCGAAGAGTGGTCATCTTCGGGGTGGGGGAGAAGGTCTGAAAGTAGTCAACCCCCTGCCGCTGACTGAAGCCACGAGCCACGTAACGCGCCTTGAAGACAGGCGGAGAACCCGGCGGCCGCTTCACCCTGAAAATCCACATGCCACTGACGATGTTCGCCCCAGGGGGGGGAACAGCGTCAACGTAGGTGCCTGTGGACTTCCAGGAAGCCATCTTTGCATCCATAGCTGCCTGCCACTGAGAGGAGTAGGGACCCTCTATCGCCTCCGCGTAAGAGCGCGGAGTCGGGATGTCTGGTGCATCCGGGTCTCCCTCAGGGGCTAGCAGTACAGACGCGAGACGAGGTGAAGCGGCGGCTAGACACTGGAACTCCTCCTGCCTGTCCTCAAGGACGTCCGTGCCAAGGGCACACTCACCCCCGACGGACGGAGGACAGGCGGACTCAGACTCAGTGACAAGACGGGCAGCGTAGTCTAGACGACAGCGCGCAGCAAAGTCGACAAGCTCAGTGACAAGGGCAGACGCAGCAGACGACTCGAAGGAAGGGTCAGTGACAGCTGTAGCAAGGAGACGCGTGACAGTAGGACTGGCAGCACGAAGAGAGTCCGACTCCGGGTCGGCAAGAGCAGGAAGAGAGGAAGCAGGAGGAGAAGGCAAAGGGGCACGCAGAGGAGCAGTGGACGGACGCAGTGACATCCGGTGCGTGCCAGGAACAGGAGGAGGACGCTGACGCGACCCGCGACCACTAGCGCGCTCAGTACGAACAGGCGACACAGGACGAGACGCAGGCTCACGACGCTCAGTAAGACCTCCAGTCGGACCAGTGTAGGGAGACGGAGCAGGCAAAGGGGAGGCAGGCTGTAGCTGTGGCTGTGACCGGACAGGCTGCGGACCCTCTAAGGGAGGAGGAGGAGGAGGCGAAAGACCAAGAACCTGCTGCAGGAGCGGAACGAAGTAAGGTCGGGGCCGCGCGGCGACACCAGAAGCAGCAGGAACAGTACCAGCAGCCCCGGCAGGAGTACCCACTCCAGCAGCACCTCCAGCAGCACCACCAGAAGCTCCAGAACCTCCAGCAGCAGCACCAGGAGCACTGTCAGTCGGACCGCCAACGGCAGGCTCAGCGCCAACACCCTCAGTAGCACCAGCTCCAGGAGAACTCTCAGACCCAGCAGCTCCAGCACCCACAGTACGAGCACCGGCGGGACGCGAGGCAGCAGTACCCTCTGCAGCCGAAGAACCACCAGCACCAGCAGCACACCTCCAGCGCCTGGCAAACCACTCACGCAGCTCCTGCGGGGAGAGTGGCTCCCGGCGAGACGAAGCACCCCCAGGCACAGCACCCCCAGGCTCAGCACCCCCAGGCACAGCACCCCCAGGCTCGGCACCTCCAGGCTCAGCACCCCCAGACGCAGCACCCCCAGGCTCAGCACCCCTAGGCACAGCACCCCAAGGCTCAGCACCCCAGGCCAGACCCCCAGGCTCAGCACCCCCAGGCTCAGCACCCCCAGGCTCAGCACCCCCAGGCTCAGCACCCCCAGGCTCAGCACCCCCAGGCTCAGCACCCCCAGACTCCGCACCCCCAGGCTCAGCTCCCGCAGCAGCACCAGAGTCACCAGTGACCTCGAAAGGCTCGACCGCGTCTACCTGGGACACACCTGAAGGGGCAGGACCCTGAGGGGGGAGGGGGACTACCGGGGGGGGACCTGGTACCAGGAAGAGCGGGGGTGGGGGGAGGGACGGAGTGCGGTAGGGGAAGAGGCGGTAGTAGGGTACCGACTCGTCGAACGTGACGTCCTGGGAGGACAGAACACGTCGAGAGGTGGGGTGGTAAAACTGCCACCCAGGGGCGTCGGGGGGGAACCCCAGGAAGACGCAGGGAGAAGCACGAGGGGACAGCTTGTCCGCAGACAGGTCGCGAACAAACGCCC